CGAAATTCGCCGAAACGTCAGCTTAATCGTGAACAAAGAACAATAACACCTCGCGTTTGCTCAAAAAAAAAATACGAACATAAACAACCAAGATTCATTCCTGCAATAGTGTATGGGATTTGATGTTTCCAACTGGTGGTCCAACACAAAATAAATCATTGCTGGAAATTACCGCTACCTTATTAGCAATTCATTCAAACGTTGATGAACCTTTCTTTGATATATTTAATCTGTTTAACCTACAGGGAGCGCGAACGCTGTGGCAAAGCTCTCTCAGGACCACAAGAAGCAAGCGAATTCAATGCACACGAAGTTTATACTTCACGTTTTTTAGCCGCTATTGCAACCAAATTGACGCATTCACAAGAGCCCCACAGGCACTAGAACAATGCCTTTTCCTTCTGTTCTAGTAAGCCCGATAGTTGAGCGAGCAGGAACCTAAATGACATAATGGCATTTGGCTGCATGTCCAAACTGTAGCCCGGCTTATACAATTCTGCATTCTGACACCTACCCTCTGTTCTATAAAACATTATCAAGAATACCACCTATCTTTTGCTTTTACCATCACTGACTACGAAAATCGGCCGGCAAAGTCGAAGCGAACGCCGTTCTGTTGGCATAACAGAAGTAGAAAACTCTATTAGCCTGCTACCGCAGAGCATATTCGCAGACTTTTAACACCCATGCCAGTGGTTTCAACAACGCAAAGACTGGGAGAGGTGTCAAACTTCGGTGAATAAACTTCGCGTTTTTTTCCACTATTTTTTCGATGACTGGGATGAAACTCATTTTCTACTCCAATCGGTAATCTTATCGGCTCGTGCGGCCCTAGCACGTTTTCCGTTTATTTTTTCTCAGGAAATCGGCGTCCATCATGGCGGTTTGCTTCGAACATGTTCATATTCACAAGGCACATTCAACGAAGGTTACGACAAGGAGTGTGCTGTATTCCTAACAAATGTCAATAACCCGAGAAACGGTTTGGATGTGGTTTACCTAGCGTAATCCCTGTTGGAATCCTAATTGTTCAAGTGGGTGTTCTTTATTGAAATTCCTTGACATGCACTGTAGGATAGTCTTCGTCAGCAACTAGTAGAGTGCACTCAACGGGCGCATCGGTTAATGGTTACGAAGATCTCTTCGGTTGCCTTCCTCGAATGGATGATTGTGTACAGCGTCCTCTGCTGCTCCTGGGTTTTTTCACCGTAAAGGTAAGATGTATCTCGAGATGCGAAGAGTACGTATAGACTGCGGCTACTAGGCTTGGTAAGCCTAAGACGCGAGGTTCGGTCCCATGTGGTGTACTGCAGAGCGTCTCCTTGCGTTGCTCTACATGCGCCTAAAAGGAGACATTAGTTGTCGTAATTCCAAGTGTATTCCCGAAAATCATATCTCCTCAACTACGACAAATTTTGAAGTGCTTTGAAACCAGATTTCGTTCTTAATTTTTCGCAAGCCGTCTGCAATACGCTCTACGGTTACTTTCGTCTACTGAGGAAGCGTGTTTTTCTACAATCACAAATGAAGAACAACAACAATAATCAGAAAGGCCTTTAGCATCCCTGCTTATGCACTCTCATATCATGCATCTCGTTAAAAAACCTCTCACTGTGGTGATCTTTCGATAATATTTTTTAACATCTAAATTAGTGCTATAGGCACTTCTGTTTTTCCTTGTTCACCTTCAAAATTTTCAGGTGACAAATTTTCGACGTCAGCGAGCGATCCGGAGGTGTCTATTTATGGCCACCGTACAAATGATTCTCAATGCTCCATACTACACGTTGCAGCTCATCGACGAAGTCTATTCATTGCAGTGAGTTCGACTTTTCTACTGCTTTTATTCATAACTGTACAGAAGTATGAGTTCATTCTCAAGTTATATTTTTATACATCTGCGACTCATGTTCCAGTAGAAGACCATCGACGGATCGCAACTATCCACCACATTGCTCCCTTTTCAGTGTTATTCGTTCGTTATTCATCCCTGAATATGTTTAAAATTATTTTCGTGAGTTCTGTGTAAAGACGACTTCCACTTTTTCAAAGCGTACTAAAATTTGGGATGTCAGGAGGCTTCGAACTTGGGATTACCACTTCCGGAGGCTCATTTGCTACCCCAACACACCAATGGAAGCCTTGGCTTTATTTCGAAACCGACTTTCCTTGAACCTCGGTATCACTAATCAATATGTATTCTTTCTTTGATGAGCTTACACGAGGTTGATAATGATGTTTATTTTCGGCTAACGTTTCGACGTATTCGTCTTCCTCAGAGCCGATGATCCGAATCGATAGTCCTCGCTTGTTATTCGTCTCGACGTGGCAGCTTCGCCTTCGTGTCGAGTCAGGTCTTCTCAGTGAGCCATCTCCTCGAATGAGGCATCCTTACTCAGTGATACCCTTTTATACACGATGCTGTTGCACATGTTGATCATTATCAACCTCGTGTAAGCTCATCAAAGAAAGAATATCTTGGCTTTATTTTTCTTTCAGTCGATTTTCGCTTTAACAGTGCCATCAGCAAGCACCGATCAACGAGAATGACCAGTCATTAAAGCCAGTTAAGCCGAGACTATAACCGAAACCACAGTGTTTTAACTTTTATTTGAAAAACGGAAAAAACAATCAAAGCAGGGGCCTCCGTTAATTTGGTGGATAACACATTAATCATCGGAGAGCGTAACTGCGCGCTCAAAGCCGAAGTGAGGTTCCGAGTTTTACCAGGTCCATGCATACTTGTGGTTGCCCTTCACACCACATCCTGCCATGCTTCGCATCTTCCTCATAAAAGAATCTCATGCCGGTTAGACGCGAGGCAACGTGGTGCGTCCCCAGGTTGCAGATAGGTTGTTAATCGAAGACCAAAAGTTTAAGATCTTTTCACTTGAATCATCCTAAACATGAGTGACAGAACACTAGACGAAGGACAGCCATGTGAGCCGGCAGAGGTGCTAAAAGGTTTCAGTACATTGGACCGCATCCACACGAAAACAAGAGTCGCTGACGTATTGCGAGGGTGTAAGAGACCGCTGTGCCTCACTTCTATCGGTTTCAGAAAAGCTCTTGACTCAGAAGAAATAGAAGCAACCATGGAAGCACTATGCGAACAAGCCGTCCCTACTCAATGAATAAAGAATTTTCGTGAACTATGAAAAAATTTCGCGACAAAAATATCATTACTCTGTAACGATATTAACATCAAGGTCAAAGGAGGGGTTAGACAAGGCGACACCTTCTCGCCAAAATCTTTCACCCACGAGAACGTCATGCGAACACTGGAATGGAACAACATGGGAGTGAAAATCGATGGCCGTCAATTACACTATGCTTTGCTAATGACATCGTTATTATAACACCAAACATTAAAAAACCGGAATAAATACTTGCCGACTTTGATAAAGCCAACGGAATGAGTGATCTTCAACTAAATCTCACAAAATCTATGTTAATCAGGAGCGATTTGGTTACGTAGAACCCATTCCCGCCCAACTGAATGAATATCTTGGAAGGCTCTAGTTAAGTCTATCTAGGTCTCAGGAAATTGGCATCATGAACGACTTGGCCCCAGAATTGAGCAGGTGGAAGCAAACGGCTTGGGGAGCTTTCAAGAGAATCGAGGATGTAGTGAACAGAACAAAGAGCACCCGGCTCTGCTACCACCTTTCCGACTCCAAGATTCTTCCTGTCTTAACGTATGCGTCAGAAACTTGGTAGCTCTGTATGCAGGATGAAATCACTTATCGTTCAAGAGAGCGCAGTCGAAAGGACGGTGCTAGGATTTTCCCCCATCACACAAGTGAAGGAAGGGTTCCGAAGCTTCGTTCTACGTGAACAATCAAAAATCAAATACACCGTTCTTTGCACCAAACTGTGGGAGATAAGGTGGGTAGGTGATGCAATACTTACGAACATCAAAGGATGGACAACAGTCGTTAGCAACTCGATTTTTCGCGATGTGAAATGTACTGCAGGAAAATCACCGATCCAATAGTCAGAGTTTCTCACCATAACTCCAGCGGTGCTCAACGAGTCTCCATAACCTTCCGGAGTACTGTTGTAGGCAACGAAAAAATGGAAGATTTACTCGCGCTCGCTCGAGTCAACAGCAAGCGAGACGACGGACGACAAAGGCGACTGTGCCATGAAAAAAATTAGTAGGCAATAAATAAAAGTTAAAACGTTCCCAGCTTTTCCTGGGCCAGATGGAAAGCGCTTTGGTTAGAGATGCTGTACAATGCAAGCGTGGTCGCTGGTCCGACCACGGATCGAGTCAGCAAATTTCGTCATTCATCCGGTGTCAGGAAGTTGTTAAAATACTTGTTTGCTGGAATAAAAATGTCGCCGACGGTTTATGTTCATGGGAATTTATAGAACTATCTGAGAATTGCACCCAGGATCGATTCGAACAGCACTTAACGACATTTTTGGGAAAAGCAAAACCGTTAATTAGCGGTCAAACCCACACGCAAGAGTAGAAGAGTTCTTGGACGGTAGTTAGTAGGCTGAGGGCGCAATAGAAAGTATGTAAGGATTGGCAGAACATGGAAAGCTAGTTCATGTGAAAAGTACTTGCTTTTTTTCATTAGTTCAAATATCACACCATGAAAATGCTTTACATAGTTATAGAACCTCCCATTAAAAGAGGTATTTTGTAAAACGAAGAACATCGTGCTTAAAAAGTTTTCAGTATTAATTTTTTTAATTGTTAAGAATATGAAACGATAGATGAGAAATTGGTACGACCGTGGTGAACGACTTCCAATTTGAGGTCCACGACGTCTGGGCTCGTCATGTATCTTTACATGGATGCAGTCCTCTACCTTCTCTACTTGTGCCAGTTTCCGTTGGTTTCGCTCTACATCTTCACGCTTCGTTCGGATATGAAGTCAGGCGACAAGTAGGGATATTGCAAAATTGTTTTCTAAATCATTGCTATAATTTAATCTACTTGATGGGAAGAAGAAAATTTGGAAATCACTGGTGAAACAACGTAATGGCAAACGAACGAGAACGAATCCGCGTGGAACTCAAGTTAATGAGAATTCACTTATCGAAAATCAAAATTTGTCTTTCTAGTGGGTCCAGGTGGTGCAGTGGTCGGAAGCTCTCTGCAAAACAAATAGGATCGGTCCCCGGATCCCAGGCTCACCAATCCTTCCCTCTCCGGGATCGACAAAGCGCTACCAGCAGACTTGTCTAGGAGGATAGCAGCATTGGCTCGATAAATCGGCAGGCCACCACGAGTCGTTGTAAAGGCCGGATATGCATGCACCTCCAACGATGCTTAATGAAGTCGAATGCATGGCGCATCCCTCAGGGATTGACCAACGTCGAGAGCTTTACCATTTATCCCTATATCTTCTTAGCAATACGTCTTTTGTGCAGTACGACAAAAGGATAAAGAATAAAGCTCTCGACGTTGATCAGTCCCTTTAGGGATGGATTATGCTTTCGCCTTCATTATGCACCGTTTGGAGGTGACTGAATGCATGTCTGCCCTTTACAATGACTCGTGGTGGCCTACCGATGTATCGAGCCAGTGCTATCCTCTCAGACAAATCTGGTACCAATTCGCCGATTCCAGAGGGATGGAAGGCGTGGTGGGCCATGGACGCGGGGATCGATTCCACGTGTGTGTTGCAGGGCACCTGCGCTACCACTGCGCCACACGCACTGTTGTGCAGTATGATAGATTGGAATATTTAGAAGAAACACCGGCATTTTTCGTCAGGGATACAGTCCATAACTGTTATCAACAAATTTAGTTGGCATGAAACCGTATCTTAAGACTAGCGTTACGTAAAAAATTAAAAATACAAATGTAAATGTAAATTTCTTTTGTCAGTTAGTAAAACTGTGTCAGCATTTACAAAACATCCGGTAATGGGCCAAACATACATCAGTTTTATATGCCTTCACCATCAACTTCTTCTAATGAGGAAGAAAAGAATTGTAGTCATTTTCTAGTTCTCTTTCAAGCACAAAGTATCAAAAATGAAGCCCTTTGACCTGATTTGTCAAATATGATCTTAGGACTACCGTTATTTCCCCTACACATACTAAGCGCACTTTTGTCAATTTTATTGGATCTTTTCTCACTATGACGACTTCGTTCCTTTCATCTACACCATTATAAAATTTCCTGCATTAAAGCTGTTTAGATGTCGGAAAATTCCGTCTTCTCTTTCGACACCTCAGAACGCCTTCAGATCCCAACATCATCCACTGACAGCGGCGAAGAGCAACGAAATGTAACAGCGTCGACGTCGAATGGAACCGACTACTACTTTGCAAACGCCTATTGGTGGCGTTGAATTGAAGATGAACATCTCCTTGATTGGGATCGTCACCACAGTGATGTTGAGTTCACTTCCTTTTGTAGCTGGAGATGTTCAAAAAGCCGACGTGAGAAGTTGCGTTAAATGGATGTTGGGTCAGTAGGACACTGGCATGACATCCTTACGAGGTGTTATTGTTTTTATCTTTAACATATAATAACCTAGTATTCAATTCGAAAACGACAGTCGACCATCGGCTCGGAGATAAATTTCAAAAGATACCGATGGAAAATGTGTTGATCTTTGTTCTTTCTTTTCCTGAAACAAAATTTCCGATGTTTAGTCGAGGTGCCAAACTTTGAATAAGCATATTATTACCCGTACATATGACGTGGGATTTTGCCGGCAGTTTAAAAATAAATTGTTAACGTAATTATATTGTTGAGAAACCACGTTTAACTACCAAAGCCATGTCTTTCCATTGTTGTTGCGTTTTTCTCTGTTTCGCTTCGCGATTTATCCCACATTCCTCTAAGCGGTAATGAGTGTATTGTAAACGATAAGGTAAAGCTTTTTAGCACAAGCGATTTGTGTACAAATCCTATTGCATCTTCATAGAAGGCATTAAACTATTTGTGGAAGCACATCACATTCATTGACTCAGCTCGGCTAATGTCCGATCGAGAGCGTTGATCGTCTAAAAAGCGAAAAATTGACTTCGCATAGAAACGTTAAAAAAAATTTTAAAAAAATAAAGAAAAGAAAACAAAGAAAATAAAAGTTGTTGGCAGTAATTTCGAAAGCAGAGTTGGTTTTGAAATAGCTTCTACTTCAATGGTTTTGTTTTCGGATCAATTACTAAGAAGAATAATTCACTGTATTCTTGTCCAGAGAGAGTGTGTGGAGTAGAGGTCAGAGGCGCCCTGCGACACACATGTGATCCCTACGCCCGTGGTTCACCAAGCCTTCCAACCCTCCGGGCTCGGCAAATTGGTACCAGACTTGTCTGGGAGGATAGCAGCACTGGGTCGATACGTCAGGAGGCCACCGCAAATCATTGTAAAGACTAGATATGCATTCAATCACCTTCAATTATGCTTAGTGAGGTGTCGAAAGCATGGCACATCCCTCAAGGTTTGATCAACACCGAGAGCTTCTTTAGCTTTATTCTTGTTCAGCAAACACGACGTGTTACTTTATTTTAGCTTTTTTTGGTGATCGTACTGGCACCTCGGCGGTTTCGCCCAGATGGAAAGATCAATTTGATTGCCTACCCAGCCAAACACTTCCATAACCAAACAGAGAAATTACTGAACCAAGATTTCAATCGCACTGAAAACAAAATAGCTTCTTAACACACTCACCGCTTTCTGTTAGTCTTCCAATGAGTATTTCAGGTGGAGACTAGCTGAACAGAATTCACATGGAAGCGTAATGTTCGCGTCCCACACTTAAATATCCGTCTCAAATTTTGCGCGAGATCACGCGTGATAACTATGCATTCTTCCCTATAGTTCATTTCCTCACTCTTAGAATCTATCTGGAGTGCTTCAAGAGTTTTGTGCGCTGAAGTTTTCGATTACTATACGAGGATCATAACTTTTACTTCAAAATCTTCCCTGTTATGTCTCTGTGTCCTATACGGGCCTAGTGGATATTTGGCTTAGTTTTAAGTTTACCAACTAAGTGCTCTTTTACATAGACGCAGAGTGGCCTACCCGTTTCGCCAATGTATTCGTGCCAGGCGGTTTATAAGATGTGATATAAACCGCACACGAACCCAAAGCTCTCGAAGCATTCTGGCTGCACTCGAAGAATACGAAAATGAACCGCGAAAAGCAGTACCTGGCTATCACGCGTGATCTCACACAGCATTTAAGACTGATATTTTTCAATGTGACAAAGCAAAATTACCCTTCCATGTGAACTCCGTGCGACTGGTCTTGACGTGAAATATTCAGTGGTAGACTTATGAGAATGGTGAATGAAAGAAGATATTTTGTTTTCAATGCAATTAAAATTTCGGTTTCGTGAGTTTTCTGTTCTGGTTATGGAGGCGTTTGGCCGGGTATATTGCACTCAACTTGAGCTTTCCAGTGTCTGTAGGAACGGAAATTCGCCGGAACGTAAGCGTTTGTGTAATAAACAATAAAGTAGGACCGTGTTGGTTAAAAAAGAAGACATTGAATTATTTGATTAATGAGTGAGGAGATTAGCAGAAAGCCGGTCTTGGGAATGAAGAGGTATTTTGCGCATGTGACTTGACAAATAAGCAAATTTCGTCCTACATTGCTTCGATAAACCAAGAATGGGGTGTTTGGCAAAGCTCTACTTTTCTAAGTTTTTGACACCGACCTCCTTAAGACTCACTTCCTTTTAAATTAAAAACATTAATTTTAAGACATCTAATTTACATGACTCTTTTACAAAAACAATACACAAATAGATCCCCACTCTCATAATATTTCAAAGAATTTGTTAGAAAAAAACTTCCTAAATAAGTTTGATTAGAAATGGTTGTGTCTCCCGAAAGAAACTAAGCAATCTCCCGAAAGTTAAGGCGAAGCGAGACAACCAGTTATTGAGAACTGTTTCTAATTAAAGGAAAAGGAAATCTATTAAAAATGTCGTGCCCAGAAGCAGAACTCGCGGAGTGCGTCGCCTTCATTAAGTGGCAGAGAGGGGAGGATTCTGGTTAACACAACGCTCACGAACAATTCTTAGATCTCGACAACATTCGGTGAATATTCAGACCTATGCAAAGCTTTACGTGCTACCTGGGGATAACATAGAGCACCAAACTTTATAAAAAAATGTACGGCCTCTCCTTGTCCTTTGAGCGAGCGGAGTTCAATTATTAGCTCTAGCATGCGACACGGACTAATGAAAACATGGCTGATACCTACTCGAGTCACTCGATAGTTAGTATGACCGCAGGTGCTACGGGTGATAGGAATTGATGTGGTGATGTGATTAGTTGCTATTATTGTTTTTATTACTACAATTATTGTCATTTATTACCACGACGGTGCCACAATTTCACTCCCTCATAACGATGCTTTTCTTCTTCAACAGCTGATTGGTATTTCATAATAAAGTGGAATGATTTTTGCACAACATATGTAAGAAGACTTGTAAAAACTTTTTTGAAAAAACTAGCTGAGAAACAGGCGAAACGAAGGACCCTCATGATTCGGTGGTGAGTGCGTTAGTCCCCGGAAGGAGTAATAGCGCATTCGTTCCTCACAGCAGACACCTGCGGCCCGAACAATTGCAAATATCTCAGCATCATTGCCGTTGTATCACCTTTCGTTTTATTTTCGGATTTTTTTTTTTATTTCCTGCTTTGCGGATAATGTAAAAAGCGACTTACATCCATTAAATTCTGCTTATTAAAGCAGAGCGGAGGTTTGATCTTGAGAATATTCGTATGTGGACCATCAGCGTTAAGGAGAATTCCTCGTTCCCTCCTCAACTTAAGTATGAGCGAAAGCGCCAGCTTTTGGTCCGGCTCACGAGTACTGCGATCTTTCACCAAATCGATTCCCCAGAAGAGTCCGACTCCTCTGCAACATATCCGTGGGATTACTATAGAACGGTTTACTAGCTAAACTAGTGTTTAAAATAAGGTGAAAAACGAAGTGGTGCTTTGTGAAACAGTGTAATTTCTGTGTTGAACAATTGTGATCCCTCAAAGAAAAACAACGACGGAACAAAACTTTGGTTCGTTTTTAACCCCGTGAAATAAATGAATGAAGTAGTTATCATGCTTCTTTCAATGGAACTACCAGTTTAGAACAAAAGTATTATCTACTTTCCGAAATCGAACTAATAAAAACGGAAGGTGCCCAAAAATATATAGTTACACCAAGAATTTCCACTAAAACTTGATGTTTTTTTTTCTTATGAACGGGTCAATTTGCTGAAGAAAGGGATCAGGACAAAACACTTTTCCATTTACACAAATTTTTGCTTCAAAGAAAGTGCATAGTTAAGTAATTTAGTCGGAACACTTTGAAACATTAGTAGTGCTATCAACTGTGTATCAGGAGCTAGATTTAAGCACCCAGAACCCCCTTTTATGGAGTGTAATGTTCAAAAATTTGTTAGTATGCTAAAGAAATTTTCCGTACTAATCTCGTTTCTCGTCATATAAGAGTATGTGGCGAATGCTGCCGACCTTACGTCTCCAATGCACTGATATTTCTTCTTGAGCTGACTCAGTTGCCTTTCGAATTCCTCTCCCATGGCTTGACTATGGTCTAAGAGTTTCTCTTCTCGAATCACTCGCATCACACCAAGAACTGCAGCACATGCCACTGGATTTCCACCATACTAAAAATGTTACCGCTTTTAACTCCATGATCGATCGAATTGTCTTAAATCCGCTTTACGAATTTTGTTTGCAAACGCTCTACCGTCGTATCCGATTTGCTTTCCAGATCGTAATAATGTTTTACACAATAAAGATGTCTTTAATGATGCTGAGATATTTGCAAAACTCCGGACCGCAGGCATCCCGCTGGCGGGTGATTGCTGATGGTAAAGATGGATAGAAATAGCTGAGAGACAGGCGAAACGAAGGACCTGCATGGTGTAGTGGTGAACGCGTTACTCCCCAGAAAGGACAATAGCGCGTTCGCTCCCCACCGCAGACATCTGCGGTCCGAATTTTTGTAAATATCTCAGCATCATTGAAGTTATATTTCGCAATATACAAAAGAGTAGGCAGTAAATAAAAAGTTAAAGGAGATGTCTTTATTTAAAAATTCTTAACCACTTACAATTTTCGAATAACTCAAGTGAGAACCAGCAGAATTTTCATTAGTTCTTGCTCACGCTTGATCTACCCATTATGCTCCGAGTGCAGAGAGCGCACAAAGAAAATTAGAGTTTTTATACAACATCTTCTATTTTCTACCACTTTTGGCAGAATAGTAGTCATGGAAAGCTCGCCAGACTGGAGAAAATCAACGTTTAGCTTTGCTTCTCAAAAAAAAAAATGCCGAACTCCTCAAGTTGGATGATCCTGTTAGAGAAGCGAACCATTTTATAAACTACAGTTCGACACAAAGGAAAACTCCCAGCAAGGATGTAGTGGTAAACCACCGCTGAGGGATTCATACCGATATTGGAGCCGAAACCTGAGCCTGGAAAGGTCAAGTTAACAGCAGCCTATTCGGCCATGCACCTCCATAACCAAGCAAAGAAAACGTTAAACCAAGATTTCAATCACATTTAACACAGCTCTGCACACTCACCGCTTTCTATGAGTCTTCCACTGAGCATGTCGCGTGAAAACCAACCGCACAGAATTCACATGGAAGCGTAATGTGCCTCTCCCAACAGAACAACAGGTTTATATACTGTCCAATATCACGCGTATAATAAGGCATTCTTCCCTACGGCTCATTCTCGCGTTTCTAGAAATAATCCAGAACGCCTCGAGAGTTTTGCGCGCTTGTGTCCTAGATTCCTTTGCGAGGATCGTGACACGTACACCAAAGTCCTCGCCGTTATGTCTCCTGGTCCTATGCGTGTTTGGTTTATGTTTGCGGGTTAGGTGTTCTTTTATGCAGACACAGAGGGGTCTGCCCGTTTTGCCCAGGTATTCGTCTCCGCACGCCTTACAGGAGATTAGATAAACTATACCCGAGCTCATGCAATCCCGTCTTTACCAATGGGGCAATTTATGCAGTTTTGCGTTGCACATAGACGGTCACATAGGCGGTTACGAACTAGCTGGCGCCTAAGATTACTCGGTGGCATTTCAACTACGTTTACCGGATTCTCTAGACCCGGCCTTCTTAAGCAGCGTTTTATAGCTGCACTTACATCATTTGAGATGAAGGGTAGGATAAACGAGACCTTGTTATCGCTAGAGTTGTCGCTTACTCTTAGGAGGGGCACATTACGCTTCCATGTGAATTCTGTACGGTTAGTGTTCACGTGACATACTCAGTGGAAGACTCATAGAAAACGGTGAGTGTGCAAAGCTGTGTTCAATGTGATTGAAATCTTGGCTTAGCGTTTTCTTTGTTAAGTTATGGAGGTGTTTGGCCGAATAGATTGCTGTCAACTTGACCTTTCCAGGCTCTGAGGAAGGTGAAACCCGCCGAAACGTCAACTTGTACGTAAATAATGGAAGAAAATAAAATAACACTTGCCGAACAGAAGTAGAAAGAATTACGCAATCATTGCCGAGGTTAGTAGAAAGTTGGACGAGGGAGTTACAAAAATCTGAGTTTATTTGCAATTTCTCAGTGGCAATGGCAACCCGTTGACGCTGACACCATACTTTGTGTAGCGGCTAGATAGGACGATGTGAAATTTTATGTCGTTAAGGACTTACTGGTTTTTCGACAACAGATGACAATTTTTCGGTTGTACTTGGTAATTTGAAAGACTGAGAACATGATGGAGCTATAAAAGCATACATAAATTACTGTGGTACACCAGATAACTTCATTTCTGTTAGAACTTGGAGATCTTTTACAACTTATGTCACGCATAATTCTTTACTTCTTTGCGTGCTCGCGCCTTAATACAACCATGATTCATTACAACGGTTAAGTGGAACAACAATCAATTGCCAGTACCGTCGCTGGTGAGTGAAATCTTTTGAAAGAAAAGTTTCTGTTGACAAGAAGATGCATCATATGTAAGTCTTCTTGACACTAGTAAAATAAAGAAGCCAAAGACCTCGTTCCATCTTGTACAAAATTCACATCAAATTTCGGATCTGTCGTCCTACAGGTTCTCATTTTGTTTCACATTAAGAGTCACTCATGCATTGATTTAAAATGTGTTACCAAAAAATAACTCCAATAGAAGAGACCTTACTGCTCTGGCAATAGAGAACTGGCTATAATGGTTTATCTTGCACTACTCACCGTATTGAAGTACCCGACGCTTCCGCCGAGGGCGTTTGCGATTTTCCGTGTGGTCACCACTGCCGACACAGGGAACCCGTTGCCCATAGGCTTGCCCATCGTTACAATGTCCGGACAGAAACCTTAAAAAAGCACTTGCCATTTTTTCAATTTTTAATTCTATTATAAAAACGCTCCAGTCGAAGGCATCATTTGAAATAAAAGCTATGCAGAAGGACTATCCATATAAGATGAAGTATCACTTAAATTTAGGTAAGTCACTTACTATTTAAATTTACACAATGCTTTACAACATTGATGGCCCAATATTCTTTCAGTAACTTAATGTACGATACTCCAAAACCACGGCTTTTTGTTGAAAAAAGAATTAGTGAAAAGAGGACAAAACGTTTGGTGTTTATCAATCCATGAGGGATACCTCAAGCAGCCAATTGCATCACAACCATCGTAAAAGTGATTATATTTGGCAGACATAATGACTTGCGGAGGCATAATGATATACCAAATCGCTGTTTTTAGCATCTCAAACAAGGCTGGTATCAGTTTGTCCTGAAAGGCTCGATGGACCCTATGGATCGAACAACGCCGAAGTGCAGGGCACCTTTAACCACCGCACTTCACTCGCCTCCGTTGGAAACTGTTATGGCTTTTAATGTAATAAAGTCAACGTGACAAAACAAAATTCACTCAAGTTACCATCATCGCAGAGCTGATAGGCCCAAAACTTTTTGCCGACTCGACCGAATCCTGTCTGAACTTCATCAATTACCACGAGACCACCATGCGAACGGACGTGTCTTAAAAAATCGGAACCTTTTACGCCCATAAGAAACGTATAAATCGGAAATATTCGCAGACTTTTTGAGACAGAAAGTAGAAACTTCCCATTTGCACTTCTTTAATCAATCAGTGAAATGTGAAAAGACCTCCTGCACTGGGTCTTACACGGTGTAGGAAAGATGTTTTATTTATGGCTTTATATATCAGCCCGCACACTGCATAACATAGAATGTGGTTACACGAACAATCCTCACTTTTTGTTTTCTTTTTTTGTTCTCGAAAACTCCTTTTGCGATTACCTGGCAACCTCTGCGAAGTAGCCGGGTGGTGGTAGGACTTGTCCTCCACAGGACTGCAAAGCTTCGGCAAAGTATGCGGCCACTGTACGACCGTTATTTTCGGCCTGCAAACAAACATCCACATATTTATTTTAGTAAAAAATAAGAATTCCCAAAAGAATGGCTCTATATCCTCTCGATCAAGTGCACGCCTACCTTTTCAATTATATTTTTCACTGCATCCGAGTAATAGATGCCGGCTTTCTGTAGTCTTTGAGGATCATTAAGTTCAGCATCAGAAAGTCGATATTCTCCACGATAGATATCTGGGGTTGGCGCCTAAATGACAATGACTTTATCTGCTATGAAATAATGAAGATCTTGGTGTCTGTAGCGGTGTTTCGCGATACTTACCACGTGTACCCATTCCGGTTGGAGAATGGTGGAACCGTGATCGAATTTGTATGGAGACATCTGCATGGTGGTGGTCACGTGTCCGTGATACGCACTGAACTTTTGTTTTCCAAAAATGATCTGATTGGAAAAAGAGCTCTTTAGAAAAACTAAATTCGATTGGTATTCAAAATACAATAATAGGAAACCAGAAACCGTTGCTCAAGAATTTTATTAATCCATCAATTTGCTTTAGTGTTGGTGCTAAGGTATCTAAGATACTAAGATATCTAAGATACTTGTTTTCCTTACAGACACTGTCTTCTATTTTCCAAGTTTATTTCTAATTGACTATTTACTAAATTCATTTTCTACTTGCTTGGCTGCCAGCTTTCAAAAGATTTCGCATGTTCAATGTTAAGCTCTTAAGATATCTCGAACTTACTTGATGCTTACAAACATATATTGGTTTGTTCACCAACAAAAAATAATAAAATACTGAGGTAGATCCCTTTAAATAATGTTTACAAACTCACTGATTAAGGACAATGACGTCGGTGTGTTGCGTGTAGTCGCGAGCCAACCTCAATGCGAGATCATTGGCCTCCGAACTGCAATGCACGTTTACTTTCATCAAGGCACGGATGGGAAGTTTATTATCGATGGTTTTTCTCATGGAATCGTTGAAAGAAATTGACTTACATGCCAAAGAGTTGGATAGAAGTCAAGGTAGGAAAATCACATCTGCTCGCTAAACACTAAGTTCAACTATTTCTTAATCTAGGACTAATTACATCCATTACCATGAAAAATTTCCAGCCACTCTCTTTCTTTATTACGATCACTTTAATACACACGCAATCTTGGTGGATTTCGTGGACGCAGCCAAAAACGATGAATTGTTCGGCGATTTAGAGTGGTAGTGCGTTATTTAGTGAATGATGCTTCTTGTGGAAATATATTTGTAAGGGTACAAAACCTCTACATTCTTGTGTCAACAAGGTGCTCAAGTGCTATTCTATTATAATGCCCAATAATGCTTCTCAAAGACTAACCCAGAATTGCAGAAGAGCACTGTATCAAGGCCTGGCAGTGTTTTCAGCAACTCTTCGGCACAATCGGTCAGCTTTTGACTGACGAAACGAACATTGCAAGTAGAAGTGGCCAGTTGTCTACTGATCGCCCCCACCACTTGAGGATGACAATGGCCTACTGAAAATGCCAGCACTTTTCCACATTTTTTGTAGATAATATCACTGCACATTTCCGCGCTGTAGAGATGGCAATGTGTTTGACAGTTGATCGTGTTTGCATTACTTAACAAAAAATCTGGATTTAGCCAAGGCCATTATTTTTTGGCTGTCAGTAGTGTTAACCAAGTTCTTCACCGATTTCAAGAATGAAGAACATGAGTTGCAGCAAACACAGCAATACTTTTTTCTATTTGTTTATTGCCTAGCCTTTGCGCAAAAGAATGTATTACGAATGAACCGAGAATTTTCCACTCTTAGGCGACATTAGTGTTCTGATACTCAGCATACATTTGCCATTTACCATACCACCACCACTGGTGTGTATGTGTGTGTCTCGTGAACTTTCTTGTGTTGTTTACAATATGCCGTACAAAGTGTAACGTCTACTGTTCCAGTGTGCTATCATTGCAATCACTAAACAGCTCACTCAATTCGGCGGCACAGATCCGAATATTTTGACAAGGTACGACTTAATTGTGATAAGGAATACGGTAACCATGGTGATTGTATTTGCTGTACTGATGTTCAGTTTTTCATGGAATTACGTCAAGAATCGCGAACTCATTCTTAAGTGATAAAATCGTATTGAAATTGTGGTATAGCTCAGATGACTTTGCAAGCCTATTTGCAATAAAAACCCTATTTCTTTCGTTTTTCTTTCTTGTTTCCATGTCAGAGAACACACTATACTCACCATGCTGCACGTTACTGATACAGTCTAAGTATTGCATGCCTTTCTCATCGTACAGGTACTGCATCGACGCTTTCGATACCATGAACGGGTCGTCTTGATAGAAAATTTGGCATTTCGACCTGAAGCATGGGACGTGTGACTTTCTTGGAAAAAAGCAAGTGATCTTTGACGGCATCCCTTGACCGTTTTTCGTTGATTTCAATGAGTTTGCCATTACTGTGACCAATTCAGTTGATAAACTGCTGGCAGTTTCTTTCTATCTCTCTCTATACCTCTCCGTTTATCAAATGCTCAGAATTTCATTTCTTGAGGAAAGATACTCCTTAGGGACATCTTTGTTGAATATTTTGCTCTCGAAGGTTCTAAACGTATTGAGAAATCCATGAAGCCAAGGAAAATGCGTTAACGGTTGTTATTACATGCAAGCACCAGGATATTCATAGAAATCTTACATGTCATATCTCTTAGACGCTTCTACTCTACTGATCCACTTTTATTGCATCTACCTTTGCTTAGGTTCTCACAAATTTTAATGTTATTTAGCAAAAAGAGCAATATTTTCGAGCTGCCGTCAAAAATGGAATAGATAGGACAAATGAAAAGACAAGAATACAAAAAAGAATTCATGTGTTGGAGAGATCACTAGACGATTAGAACTACTCGTCCATGAAATTGCCTACGTTGTTCATCCTAAACGGTGCTGTTCATCTAAGAATTCATCTCAGCGGCACGAACCTTTTCCAAATTTTAACTTTTCTGCACCCGACATCCGTACGATTTCCCCAGCCGATGATCAGCAACGCATTACAGCACTTATTGACAGTTGTACGCTATCGGTGATGGGCAATGATAACAAAACAGAATGGAGCAACGAACAGCTACGGAATAACTGCCGACTTGTTAGGCAACGCTGATAATGAAGAACGGAGGTGCTTTGAAATTTTTCAGTCGAAAAGAACTTAACGTTTTATTTTTGAACACAGTGATACTCAAACATCAGCAGGACCCGGAATCTCAGGTGCGTTTCGAACCAGCGAGGACCATTTTCCAAGGGCTGATGTGTTATACTTTGCACCAATCACAGCCTTGCTCTGTCTTTCTCTCAATCAGTTCTGAACCCTTGAAAAGCTAATATCGGTAATGAAGAGCACTTGAGGTTCTGGATTTTTTCACATTTCCGCACCATTTTGGCTGCATTTAACATCATATCCTGCTGTGCAAAAAATAACGGGCCGTAAATAAAAGTTATTTATCGTATTATTTTCATTTCTTACGAAAGGATATCCAGGATAATCTAGATGGATCAGTTGAAAATGCATGGAAACATCTTTGAAACTTCCCAGTCTAGAAGTCACTTTTGAGAAGTCGGATTAACTGTACGATATTTTTCCACATTACTTCAATGCTCCTATATTTGAATGACCTACGTTGACAAATAATCTTGTGGGCCCCAGTATACTTTCTTCTTAACTCATATGCTAATGGCTTAGCAAAACTTCCCCACAAGGGCATAAGAACTACGTGCCAACGCGTTGTGAGGCAACAAAATTTACCCCCTCGTGGGTAACTTCTTTGAACAACGCCATAATTTTAGTAATATTTCTTGCTGGATGTCATAGTGGAAATACAGAACTCCATATTGTCTTGGGATAGCCTAGACGGAAATTTAAACCACTCTTCGCAGCGTTTCCCATTGAGAGGTGGTATTTTGATGATTCTGACTTAAAACAGTCATAGAATCAGTGAATGAAGAAAACGTACCCAATAATATTTTTTCTCTGGCTGAGCACTTCTTCCTTTGAACGGACCTCATCATAGCTATCAAATTTCGTACCGATACTACTACTGAAGTATCCGAAAGCGTGAACAAGCAGATCCATTTTCCTAAAAGCATGTAATAGCGCAAAATAGCGACCGAACAAAAATATCTAACCTAGCAAACCGATAGAAGGTTTTACGTATCAATACTGTGTTTTTCACAGATGTTTATTCCAGTTAAAAAGGATAAAGCTCTCGACGCTGATCAATTCCTGGAGAATGCGCCATGTATTCGATTTCATTAAATATCGCTGGAGGTGATTGAATGCATATCTGGCATTTACAATGAGTCGCGGGAGCATACCGATTTATCGAGCCAGTGCTCCCAGACAAGTTTGGTACCAATTTGTCGACCTCGGAGAGATCGAAGTCTTGGTTGGTGATGGGTGCGGGGATCAATTCCACGTGTGTGTCGCAGGGCGCCTACAACTACTGCGCCATAAGCGTCCTTTTATTCTAATTACTTGATGCTTGAACGGCCTGTCCTCACAAGTTGTGCGGGCCCTTGCACAATCACCATTTTTCGGAGATTTGCTGGTTAAGGCACTGTAGTTCCCTGGAATCCCGAGGTCAGCCAGGCCAAAGCATGCTCCAGGTCTTCGCCACCACAAGCAGTGGCAGCCCTTGTTGATCAGAGGGAGATTTGCCACCATGCGGCTTTGATACCAAGAGGGTGGTGGATCCTGGTATTGGTTTAGTCTTAGCTAGGCTTTCTGATGGAAACACCGGACTCTTTCTCAGCTTGGGAGACCCTGCCAGGCGATGAATCCCCGCTGTACATCGCAGTCCGGCACCCAGGAGCACCTCCTAGCCACGATGAGGCGGTAAACCAGTGGGAGGTTTATTCCAGTTAAGGAAAGAAAACCTTTACAAACAGGTTCATAGCAAAAAAATATATCAAGCATCTTTGTGGGCGGCCACGAACGAGATACACTTGAAATGCTTCACTTGATTTCAATAGCAAAATTACTCTTTATGAAAAGCGAGAGAGAATAAGCATTTGGGAAACTCATTGGTTCTGTTCTGAGTTTTTGGACCATTGTATTGTATCCATATCATAAGAATTCGATGTATTCTCCTCAAAGCACTCTGCATAGAGCTCACTAGCGGAGATTTAAATGTAAGTGACAATGACTACATAGTGAAAAAAAGTAACAACACATGCTCTTCTTGAATTAAATCCATCTCAAGGCCATCTAACTATCGTTCGTTCTAATTACGGACTCCTTACATTGGACTTCTTTCAAGAGAAAACAAATGGTGACCAAAGATACCAAAGATGACTGAAGAGAATGAAATGAAGAGGGAAGTAAGCGTGAGACAAATGAAAACCATGGAAGGGAAAACAAAAAATTCTCGTTCTAGAGTGATCTAATTGTTTGATGAACCATGCATTTATATATGAGAGAGATCTTTTTGATCGGCAAATTATGAGGTGGCGTCTGTGGCATAGGGTACTATGAAAAGCAATGCTGCCCAGGCGATGTCATCCGGGCGAAATGCTCCAGGAACGGCGGCTTGTCTTTTCTACCCCTGGTGGGCGTGTTCAGCGCTGCCGATCTCTAGACACGACACGATCTCTCTCTCTTCAATCGGTTGGTTGGCTTTCACGTGCCACGATGACCTCAATGATCTGCTTGTGATTTTCATCGTCTAACAGAGGATTTCTCGGACAAACGGCGTCAGAACGTGGACGAGTTGCGCGATGATGGTAGTGCTTATCGCTAGAGAGACCGTTGTAATAACGGAGATTCATAAGATCGGGGAAATAAACAAACCACTCCACACCACAAAGAGCAACCGTCATTCGAAGAGGAGCAAGGCATCGATAGCGAGTCGATTTTCGCCGACAACCCGATTGCGCAAATTATCCGCGCTAAGAACGAAGAATTTCTCTGAAAATATCTCCAACGGACAGGAAATGCTGTGAATTGTACGGTCATTACACCAGTAGTGATTAAACGTGAAAGAAATTCAAGCGAAATGGCGTAGTTCCTTATGCCCTCAAAGTAGTCCGCCTCCACACGAGTGAGCTGATTCCTCCATCACAAAGAAATGTGAAAACTTGATTTGCTTCCTTTCTTCTCATTCAGCTTATTTTCGCGTCTCTACTTCAAAAAAGTCTTGTTTTTTTTGGAGATGTGAGAAAGCCACCTTACCTTCCGACGTGGCTACCTTCATCACTGCCGCTTCGTCATGATTTCGAAGCTCACGTATATATTGTAGTTGGCAAACTGAATCACTTGTAATTCTATCAGAGAACGGCGAAGCTTTAAAAATATGTGGCAGAATGATGTAAATAATAATAACCTCCTTAAATGCCAGCGGCGTGCGTGTGGAGCAGTGGTTGGAGGTGTCACTGCGGCACACTTGGTATCGATCTCCGCGCCATGGCTCACCAAGCCTTCCATTCCTCCAGGATCGGCAAATTGGTACCAAACTTGCCTGGGAGGATAGCAACACTGGCTCGATACATCGGTAGGCCACCGCGAGTCATTGTAAAGGCCAGATATGCATTCAATCACCTCCAACGATACTTAATGAAGTCGAATGCATGGCGCATCCCTCAGGATTGATCAACACCGAGAGCTTGATCCTTTATCCTTTACATACCAGCTGAAGTAATACCGATTACAGGGTGGATTGCCCCCACGAGAATAGACTGTTGATGAACAAGTAGACAGCAACCGTCTTGTACAAATAGACACTACTGAGTGAAATTATTCATTCTAGAGGTACTTCTTTCCAGAAGATTTGACTCAATGTGATGGCGAGCACCCACATCGCGGCAACCACCGCCTGTGAACAATCGACTCAGATCAAGGCGGCTCTGAAGTAGACAAACGCTTCGGGGCGTTAGCTCAATAAGAAGGCTTCTACCAACGTCATGCTCTCGTAATCATCCAAGAAAACGTAAAAACCAATTTCAAGAAGTCACGCTACTTTTTTCATACAAACTTAGTGAAAATAATGGCCAATTGTTATCACTGCGTTCGTTTCCAATCTGAACTGTAAATTTCAGCACCTACTATTCCACAAACACATCCCAATTATTTATTCGTTTTTGTGGTTACTTTCTAGTTCTTGAAATTTCACACAGGTCTGCACCGCATACTGTGTGGACTCTAGCATTTTTGCATTCTATTTGTCGACTCGCGTCCATCATCCACGAAGGCTTTCGAATATTTCGCGCATAGGTTCGGCTACCCTCTGGGGATTTTCGGGCAATTTGGTCTTTTAGAATTTCCGAAACTCTCAACAGCTGAGCTAAAAATTATTGGCATCTAGGAGAAAATGGGCGGTTTCAACCATAACTTGATGAAAATCTCTATGGTACTGCTAAATAAGGCAGATAAAGGATTATGTAGTCGGTGTTGAGCAATCAGGTAGGAGTATGTCATAGATTCGACACCACTGAGCGCAATAATCAAATTGAAAAAGACAAATTGACGAATGCTATAATCCAGACAGGTCTCCTAAAACATCAGATTAGTGAAATATAACCATAGGGGTGTTCAGACTGAGCAGAACTATGAATGTCAGCTGTGCTTTGAACACTCAACCACCCTTACCTGTGGTTCAGGTGCTATCTACCGAGCCAACCCAATCTCTTACTTTACCTTTTCGTAGCCATGCTTTTACTCTAAGGGTGTTATCAACAATCACCCTCAACGGCAATGATCTGTGGGGCAAAAATCGTTGTTGAACCTAGTTAAGCTAGTGTTGCAACCGAAATCACAATGTTTCCACTTCTGTTTACCGCCTATTTTTCATGACAGAGTATGACATGAAATACGACCACAGAGATTCTGAGATATGAGCAGTACTCGGTAGCTCAGATGGGCTTCAGTCCTGCTACTACCCTTGCCAGGGTATGCTTGAGGTTTCGAGTTTTGCTCATGTCTCAGCATCGTTGTAGTTGTATTTCATGTCTCACCCTAGCATAAAAAGATAGGAAATCAGAAGTGAAAACACTGTGATTTCAGTTCCATCATCAGCTTAACTATGATCAGTACCGATCTGTGCACCACAGATCATTTTCGTTGATGGCTGATTGCTGACAGCAACGTCAGCGTTAAAAACAAGCTGAAAGGAAGACAAAGAAAAGGACTAAATTGGTTTGATGGATAGCACGTGAGTCCGCACAATGGGAAATTACAAGCTCGAAGTTCATGAAATTGGTGTTTTTACGCCCTATCAATCTCTTATCATTTTGTTGACAGCAGAGGTGGTAGAGAGCTTGATTTGTCCGATCATGTTATGGAACCAAAAGTCGTGTACATTGCAAGGTACCTCTAACCACTGTTCTATCTTCGAGCCGCAATTAAATAGTTCTCTTTTATTCACTGACAGAATTCCTAACAAGCAGTGATTGCTTGGTCACTTCATTATAGCTGAAAATGCTCGACATCAATG